GGTGACGTGAAGGGACAGTGTCACTCACTGAGGGAATGGGTACAAGGGCAGGTGAGGAGGCAGGTGAAGGGTACAGGTGAGGTGACACATGAAGGGTACAGGTGAGGGGACACATGAAGGGATAGTGCCACTCAGAGAATGGGTACAAGGGCAGCTGAGGAGGCAGGTGAAGGGCACAGGTGAGGGGACACATGAAGTGCCAGTGCCACTCACGTCCTTGATGAGCAGGGCGTGCAGCATGACGTCGGTCAGGCCGTTGTCCTGCAGCGACGAGAGCAGGGAGGGCTCCTGGAACACGAACACCGTCACCACCTCGGTCGCTGCGGCGGGAGGAGACACAGGGGGGCACTGAGGGGGGGTGGGAGGGCCTGGGGGGGCCGGGGGGGGGAGCCCCCAACCCCTGCCCACCCCCCCTGGGGGCCCGGGGCGCCGCTCACCCAGCAGGAACAGCGAGGGGCCGTAGTACTCGGCGTTGCTGATGATGTGCTTGAGCGACGTGGGCAGCGACCCGTCCATCACTGAGGGGGGAGCACCCAAAACAGGGGGTCAGGGGGGGCCGTGCCACCCCCTCCGCTGCCCCCCAAGGCTCTGGGGGGGGGGTCTCAGGGACCACCCACCGTGGCGGATGCCGTCGGAGAAGGCGGGGTCCTGGATGGCTTTCTTGAGGAAGTTGAGCATGGATTTGAGCAGGGCGGCGCGCTGGGGGATGCACTGCACTCCTGGGGGGCACAGGGCGGGGTGAGACCCCCACAGCCCCCCCCACACATCCCCCCACAGCCCCCCGGGGGTCACCTACCGCCGCGGGGGGAGGGGGTGGCACTGCCGGGGCCGGAGCTGGTGCTGGGCACGGCCGGGGGGGCCGAGGGGCTGCTCTCCATGGCCACGTCGGTCACTGCGGGGGTACAGGGACAATGGGAGGGCTGGGGGGACACCGAGGGGTCCCAGGGGACACCGGGGGGGGGACACAGACCCCCCCGCTCACCCTCCATGTCCGTCTCCATGTCCTCGCCCTCGGGGGCTGCCGCGGCCGGGGGTCTCTGCACCTTGGGCTTGATGACAAAGGGACACTCCCGGCGGCACAGATCGACCTCGTGCTGGGGGGGGACACTCAGGGATCCAGAATGCCCCCCAAAAACACCCGGGGGGACCCCCAAAATAACCCCAGAGGGACACAGAGCAACCCCAGGAGGATCCCCAAAATAACCCCAGGGAAATGTAGAACGACCCAGGCAAACCCACCCCAGAAAGATCCTGGGGGGGGACCCAAAATCACCAGAGGAACTCAGAAAGACCCAAGTGGGACCTCAGAACAACCATGGGGGACCCAAAACACCCTGAAGGCACCCCCAAAAAACCCCCAGAGGACCCCAGAACAACCATGGGGGACCCAAAACACCCCGAAGGCACCCCCAAAAAACCCCCAGAGGACCCCAGAACAACCCCAGGGGACCCAAAACACCTTGAAGGCACCCCCAAAAAACCCCCAGAGGACCCCAGAACAACCATGGGGGACCCAAAACACCCTGAAGGCACCCCCAAAAAACCCCCAGAGGACCCCAGAACAACCCCAGGGGACCCAGAACCACCTCAGGGGTCCCCAAAGCTGGGCCAGCGTGACTCCAACCCCCCCCGGGTGTCCCCAAAGCCGGGGCAGGGTGACCCCAACACCCCCCCAAGGGACCCCAGAGCCGTGCTGGGGGTCCCCAGGCCCCACCTCGAGGCGGTAGATGAAGATGGAGAGGCCGCTGTGGGCCTGGAAGGCCGCCATGTCCAGGTTGGTGATGAGATCCACCACCCGCACCGCCCGCGTCACAAACGTGATCTGGTCCTGCTCGTCCCCCAGGAACTTAATCACCTTCGAGGGGAGGGGAGAGACAAAAACAGACTCAGGGGGGGTCCTTAAAGGGGGTCAAAGCCCCCCAGAAGGGAGCAGAGCCCACCTTGAGCAGCGCCTCCATCATCCCGCACGACACCAGCGCCTCCCCGCCCGCGTCGTAACTGGCCAGGTGGTAGAGGAAGGAGAAGAGGGCCGTGGCGAACTGGTGGGGGTAGGGCTCCATGGAGGGGTCTGGGGGGCGCAGGGGAGGGGGTCAGGGCGGGTCAGCCCCCCCCCCTCAGGGCCCCCCCAAAGCCCCCAGACCCACCGATCATGGCCTGGATGCAGTTGCGGACCAGCACGGGCAGGAAGCCGTGGTAGGAGGCGGTGCCGGTGCAGTCGATGATGCTGCTCAGCTTGGGGGTCCTCTCCAGGTGCACGATGGACGTGAGGGTCCGCAGGGACGCGGCCTTGATGTCCTGGGGGGGGGGGAGGGGGGGGGGGGGGGGGGTTGGGGGGGGGCTCGGGGGGGTTTTTGGGGTCTCACCATGAGCTGTTTGTCGGGGATCTTCAGGATGTGGGTGGGGTCAGAGGCTGTTTGGGGGTCTCAGGGGAGTTTTTGGGGTCTCACTATGAGCTGTTTGTCTGGGATCTGCAGGGTGTGTGGGGGGGATGTTGTGGGGTGTTTGGGGGTCCCAGGGGGTCTCACCATGAGCTGTTTGTCCGGGATCTGCAGAGTGGTCTGGGTGGGGGGTTAGGGGCTGTTTGGGGGTGCCAGGGAGGTTCCAGGGGGTCTCACCATAAACTGTTTATCCGGGATCTGCACAGTGGTCTGGGGGGGTTGGGGGGTGTTTGGGGGTCCCAGGGGGTCTCACCATGAGCTGTTTGTCTGGGATCTGCAGGAGGGGGGGTTTGGGGGCTGTTTAGGGGTTCCAGGGGGGTCTCAGGGGTCTCACCATGAGCTGTTTGTCCGGGATCTGCAGGATGTGGGTGGGGGGTTGGGGGGTGTTTGAGGGTCTCCGGGGTCTCACTATGAGCTGTTTGTCCGGGATCTGCAGGAGGGGGGGTTTAGGGGGTGTTTGGGGGTCCCAGGGGGGTCTCAGGGGTCTCACCATGAGCTGTTTGTCGGGGATCTGCAGCACATCCACCAGCTCCTCGATGAGCCCGTTGTACAGGATGCTGTTGGCCGATTCCTGCAGGGCGTTGGAATACACTGCGAGGGGAAGGGGGGGGGTCACAACCAGCCCCCCAGGAGCCCCCCCACACCCCCAGCAGCCCCCCAAAGAAGCCCACCCAGGATGGAGATGGCGTGGAGCCGGGCCTGCACCGCCTGCAGCCGCTTCCTGTGCGTGGAGAAGCCGTGGGCCAGGCGGATGTGGGTGAACAGCAGCATCTGGGGGGCACAAGGTCAGGGGGGGCCGGGGGGGGTCCTGGGGGAGACCCCCCCCAGCCCTGGGTGAGCCCGAGACCCCCCTGGGTTCACACCTGTTTGTCCTTGGGGATGTTGTACATCTTGGTGAGCGACTCCATGATCTCCGAGGGGCTCTCGGAAATCTGGGGAGGGGGGAGAGAAAAATCGGGGAGGGGGTGAAAAGGGAAAAAATGGAGGTGAGAAAACAAAAAGTGGGAGTGAAAACGGAAGAAAAATCGGGGAAATAGATAAAAATGGGGGAAGGAGAAAAAAAGGAGAAGAAGAAAAGCAAAAAATATAAACGAGAAAAAGGCATAAAAAAGCAAAAATTAGGGAGAGAAAAAAAGAGTGAAAAAAGGGAATAAGAATCAAAAGGGAAAAAACAGAGGAGAAAAAAAATGATGAAAAATGATGAAAAGATGAAAAATGATGAAAAAATTAGAGAAGCAAAAAATTAAGGGAAAAAAAACAGGGACAAAGATAAAAAAACAAAGATATGAAAGCAAAAACAAGAAATAAGCACCAAAAAAATGAAAAATTAAAAAACAGTGAGAAAGAAACAAGGATAAAAAAACAATCACAGAGACGAAAAGCAGCGAAAAAGGAAAAAATTATGGTGAAAAAAGAAAAACGTACATAGAACATGAAAAATCAGGGCAAAGAACACAATCAGGGTGAAGAGAGAAAAGTACAGTCAAGACAATAAAAACATGGTGAAAAAAAACCAAATTGGGGTGAAAAAGGCAAAAAGAGGGAGCAGAGGAACAAAAAACGGAGGCAGGATTTGGGGGTCCCAATCCAAGCACAGCCCCCTCCCCAAATTGAGCCCCCCCAGACTCACCTTGTCCAGCTGCTCGATGTGGATGTAGTGCAGGGTGGTGCTGGTGGCCTGGGGGGGGCAGGGGGGTCAGGGGGGGGGCCCCGGTGCTTTGGGGACCCCCCCATTGCCCCCCCAAATGTCCCCCCAAATGTCCCCCTCACTCACCCTCTTGTCCACCTTGACCTCGACCCCCGGCTCGGCGTAGAACTCGAAGTGCAGGGTGGTGGCACTGGGGGGGTATTTCTGGGGGGGCACAGCGGGTTTGGGGGGGTCAGGGCGGGTCCTTCCCCCGGGGGGACGTGGAGGGGGGTCACAGGGTCAGTTTGGGGACACTGGGACATGGGGGGGTGGGAGACTGGGGGACCCCAGAGTGTGACAGGGGTGGCAAAGTGGGGTTGGGGACCCTGGGATGGGACAAGAGGGGCCAGGAGAGTTCTGGGGGTCC